AAGGCATTTCCTCAACGCAATGCTTTATATTTTTTTTATCATATTTCATAATTTCTTAGATCAAATCAATTGTATTATGATATTATTTATTATAATCAAAAATATGTTATTTCTTTTATTATTATTTATATAATATATAACTTTTTAGCAATTTTTTTAAAGGAAAGAAATCTTATATGTTTATATATATACATTTATATATAATATATATATTATATATTATGTATTATATATTAATACATATTATGTATAATATATTATTATATATTATGTATTATATATTGTTATATATTATGTATTATATATTATTATATATTATGTATTATATATTATTATATCTTACATATTATGTATTATATATTATTATATCTTACATATTATGTATTATATATTATTATACCTTACATATTATTTATTATATATTATTATATCTTACATATTATGTCTTATATATTATTATATATTACATATTATGTGTTTTATATTATTATATATTACATATTATGTATCATATATTATTGTATATTATGTATTATATATTGTTATATATTATGTATTATATATTATTATATATTATGTATTATATATTATTATATCTTACATATTATGTATTATATATTATTATATCTTACATATTATGTATTATATATTATTATACCTTACATATTATTTATTATATATTATTATATCTTACATATTATGTATTATAGATTATTACATCTTACATATTATGTTTTATATATTATTATATATTACATATTATGTGTTTTATATTATTATATATTACATATTATTTATTATATATTATTATTAATAAAGAAAAAAGAAACTTAATGTCACAGCGTACATCACACTTAGCAAAGCTCACTTTGCTTATATAGAGAGTAAGTTTTATAAATTATATATGGTTTATATATATATTGTATTAACTATTGTATCACAATTTATGCACAGTAGTTTTCTTTGATCTTATTATCAATAAACAAATTTATAACCTAAACTAAATACTAAATAGACGCAACCATATAAGAAAGCTATGTTTCTAAAGTCTGTTGCCAAACGTAGACTGGTATAATAAACTTATTCCCTATTAATACAAATTTTTGCCATAGTATTACACTGGAAGAGAATGAATCTGAATGACAAAAATTTGCATTGTGTAGTATTTGAACGACCCTCAATACTGGCCATAGATATATTAATATAGTCTAAATATCAAAAGGTACATTCGTAAAGGGGCTGAGAATTAGATACTAGTTGGTTGATTTCTTAATAAATAAAAATTAATAATGTTTTAGCTTATTGTGGAATTAATTATCAAAATTAATCTTTTTTACCTATTGAAAATTGTTTTATCATTAAAAGTTTACCCAACTATAAAATTGTTAGTTAAATTTTATTTTGAATATAAAGACAGTTTAGCTACCTTTCAATAACATTGTAATGTATTGTATTGTATATTATTTTATTTATTTATTATTTTTTTTTGTTTGTTTTACTGCAATAGAACAAATCTCTCATCTCTCATCTGCCAATTTTTTTTTTCTGTAGTTTTTATCGTCTTGCAGAACAAGGTCTGTGTTGGCATTAGTCGGAAATATAACCCCTATTTTGTTTGCTTTAAACTGGTTATCAGTTGAAAAATCTTTGTAATTGATTAAAATAATGAATTATTTCATTGCTGTAATTTATTTAACAGCATTAACAACTTGTCATGAAAATATTTGAAATTATATATTATTTATAGATCAGAAAGATTCCAAATATTCATTAACTCCGTGAAAATATTCAGCTTTAACATAAGTTGCTTTTATCTTAATCACAAGATACAGTTATCCTTTATATATAATAATAAGTCTTTAAAATAATTAATTTAATTAATAGTTAAAATAAACTTTAAAATAAATTATTTTTTCGTCAAAAACAGGCTGGATTACTACATTGTCTCTTGACGATGTTCTGTATTTCCGATATTATAATCAATAATGTTTATTTTTTAAACCCAAATCTATTTGATATTTTAGAAAAAAATCTGAATGTTTTAAAATTGTAATACTTTTTTTTTATCTAGACAAAAAGGCAATTGAAACATAATTCGCAAAAAAAAATATATATTGAACATCTTTGACTATTATACAACAAAATAAACAAACATTTTCTATCTTATGCGTGCTTTTTAAAAAAAAAAAAATATTAATATAACAACCCTGAGCAATTCAATATTTCAAAATTTTGCGAATCGAGAAAAAATTTCACCAACAAAACCATTTGACTATACCACCGGTTTTGTAGACTAGTTCATCTGGCTACTATTAATAAATCAAACAATAAATGCATCTATATCTGTGCAGACATTTAAAAAAATATAACAAAATATAATCTTGAAAAAATTACATTTGTCCAATATTGACTGGTTTTTTCTAGTTGGATATGCGAAAATTAAGAAAATATGCAGATGAGCTCTAAGTTAAACAGGATCTGACATAAATAGTGAAAATTCATTCATTTTCGACAACTTAAATGAATACCAAAATTATAGAGGTATTCAGCTGACACAAAACTTGAGCAAAACTTGACAAAATTCTCAACCATATAAAACTGGTGATAGGAAAAAAAAATTATTAAAAAACATTTTTCAATTTTAATTTTTAAAGATCCCAAGATTTATTTTTTTCGTATAAACTAGTCTTCTCTTAATAGATAGTATTTCTCCTTGATGCATTAAACAATGCTTTAATGTCTCTACCTAACACCTAGCCACAGCATCTACTAGACCCCCTAGCGTCTATTAGTACAATAATGAATGAACATGGTAAATAGATTTTTTTATTTTTTATTTTAATGCTGATAAAATTAGATGCCAGTGACTTAGGCTAAAAATTTCAAATAGGCGAGCAGACTATAACTAATATATCTATAGTTACACATTATAGCAAATATATTATCATATGTATGAATATTATTTTTTTTTTGTTTGTAACATCTAAAAAATAACTCACCGCTGGCAACATGTAACACTTGTTGAAATATTCTATTCTTCAATGAAATAGAAGATTAGAGAATTCAACGACAGAAAGACATCTATATAAAAATCTAGCAATATAATTAAAATGTTCCATAAGAACTTTAGATTTTTGCTGAATTTGTTGATGGGTCACAGTCGGTTAAGGAACCATGCTCGACGAATAATTATGCTGTTCAATTATAACAAAGTTATTGTAGTTGTGGAGAAAGAAGACAAAGATACTTTGCATATGCTGTCACTGTTTAGCATATGGGGAACACTTTTTAGTAATTCTTAGCCAGCTTAACGTTTCATCTTTAAAAAACATTTTTAACTTTCCTTAGGTTCAGGATGCTTTTTAAACTCCTGAGTTTTATATTGTAGCAAAATATGATAATGGGCCTAAGGGAATCCGTAGGACGACTGATATAACCTTATCGAAAAAAAACTATATTGTAAATTGCTTAACCAAACTGCATTATAAAGAAAGTTGTAAAGGTTAACTTATAAAAATATGGTAATAGAAAATGGTTTATATGGGCAACACACCACTGCTAGATATTAAACCTATTGTTCCTTTATATTTATTATAGCTGCTGACTCATAGCTTATATTAAATTTTTAAAAGAACTTATATGCAGAATTACACATAATTATTATTATTATATTCAAAAATTGAAATGAAACTAACAAGGCAAAAGTCTTAAATGTATAAAGCTTCTTTATAGCCAAATTAGTATTATAAAACAATTATAAACATAAAAATATAAATTATTTAAGTTAAAATTTTAAGGATAAAAATATATTTTAACGATTAAAATAAAGTGTATTTAAAAAAAAGTGTTGAAGGTCTTTTCTTTAAATAAAAAAAAAATTTCACTTATCTTTTTTTTAATTTAACAGCAATCAACAAAAAATTTTAACTATTCAAAAATTTAATAAAAACAATATATATAGAGTTACTATATATATGTACATATATTATGTGAAATTACAGCAAAAGTATAAGTTTTAATCTAATTTGATTCTTATTCTAATATAAAAAATTAACAAATTATGTATGTACATATATATATACATATATATTTACATACATATATATTTACATACATAAATATTTTTATTACATATATAATAATTTCAAATAAAACAGTTTATAGTCACTAAAAAATAAAATCAGCTATATAAAAATGTTCGAGTGAATAATTTCTTTATAAAATTTTTTGATGATGTTTCAAAAACTCCAAAAATAATTATATTAAAAAATAATTAAATAATAATAACATTAGTTGTTGTGATTTACAACTAATCAAGAATCCTTCTATTAATGAAATAGTTAAGTCATAATTTAAATAAAAAAAATTTAATTTAATTTTAATGTTAATTATGACTGTACTCTTTATTTTCTTCAGCCAAAAATTCAATTAATTAAATATAAATAAAAAATTTTGTTATTACAATTCACTACTGTTAGAAACCATCCAATGAAAAGAATTAAAATTGCACTATGTTATTAATAACTATTAAGAAAATTTTTTGAGATCACCTATTATACTAATAAGAGATACTTATAATACTTTATTTAATTTTTTTTTTTGTAATATTATATCTAAACTGTATAATATTTAGTCACTTTCAAATTTAGTTAAAAATCTTCAACTAAAACACAATTAACTGAAGCAGTTTTTTTTTATCAAAATTTTACTTTTATTCTATATAGATAAACACAACAGCACACAATTAATTTATAATGTATATAAAACTATACAATGGATGATTATAATATAAGATTTTAAAACAATTTAAACTAATTAATTGATTAACTCACTTTTTATATTATTCTATTATTAAATTTATTTAAATTTTTTTTTTCAACGTTATATGTAAAATTTAGAAAGCAATCATTTCTTTCTTCAATGCTTCATATAACTTTATACTGTAATTTGAAAATTTTTATTAAACCATATATTAGCACGTCATAAAATAATATAATCACCTTTTCTTTATCAGTAATCACTGACAAAATGGTCGATCGCGGTGGTTGCTTCAATAGTTTGATTTCAACTTCTGAATGTATTTAATTAATCTTTGTTTTTACTTTTTTATCAGATTTTTGCGATATACGCAAACACAAATAAAAATATTTATTGTTTTTAATTTATGATATTTTAGTTTTTATGAATGAATTAGATATTCACAGCACTTAATATATATTGTTATCTTAGTACGTAATTTGTTCTAAGTGTATATTAACTTAATATTAGTTATTAAAAATATTAAATTAAAAAGTAAATTATTTCGATCATTTTACACATCTTCTTCCGTTAACTGAACGAAACTTTTCCTATCTTTAAATCGCTTAATTAGTGTTTGTTTATATATTAACGAACGAATTATTATGTAGAATAATTATTTTTTTTTTTATTTAAATTTTGTGTGCGTCAATCTTGTCTATTCATTCAAAACTAAAAGCCACAATTTTTCCTGACCAAATTTTCTTAAATATTTCTGTCTTTTGGCAAAAACATATATACATATATATATATTCTAAAAAAAAAATTTGTTTATACTACTTAAGTTATTGTTTTCCACTGCATATTTTCTAGAGTTGCCAACACAACATTTTTTAAACAATTCTTTTTACAACAAAGTATTAGCATATTTTCTGTTAAAATTAGTTTATTAATATATTAGCTTATTAATATGAACTGATGTTAATAATTAATAATACTAGTAACATTATACTTTGTCAATATTTTTTTAAAATTTAGAAAATGAAATTATCTTCATGCTTAATTGTAAATACAGTTCTCATTAAACCGAAATAGTACTGAGATCTTTAACCTCTAGATATTTTTAAGTTTGTCAATAGCTTTAATTTACACAGACGCTCTTCCGAGATAGCACGATACACCTTATGATTATAATTAATTGTGTATGTGCTAATCATAACATATAAAAAATATAAATACAAATCTACTATATGTAGGTGTATTCTTTTGATATGAATGCTCCAAAAAGACACTTGTCGCTTAAAAATTAACATGCAAAGCAAAAACAAAATTCCCAAAAATAAAAGCTCATTTTCCTAAAATAGTGCCAAATGTTAAAACTGATCTATTGTGAAAATTCTCGAAAATTTCAGTCAGATGAGAGAAGAGTTTATGTTTTATTTATACAACTAATGAGTAAATTTAAATATTTAAGAAAAGTGATTTTTTAATAAAATTAATAACAGAAAGGTTAATAATTAATAAGAAATCACTCATTCATTATTTATTAAGGAATTTATAATTTCTGTATTATGTTTAATGAACATAATAAAATGAAATACATAAGAAAATGTATTTATAAGAAAATTACAAGAAAAATAAAACAAGGTTAAATAATATCAAAAGTTTTAAAATTATACAAACGAATTTATTGACGATCTCGTATAAACTTCTGAAGAGTTGGAGCTATCAAAAATTACAAATATTTAATAAATGCCCCGCTCTCTTTGTATCTTCATTATTTCACTATTTTTCTCCGTTATCATAGATAAAGACTATAAAAAGTAGTTACTTTTATGTAAATTTAAATACAATATAAAATGCTCACCAATAACTTTTTATAAAAAACTCTTTTATAAAAAACTTTTTTATAAAATTATTCGGGTATTTTTATATTTACATGTATATATCAATCATAAATATGTTTAATTTTTTTTTACTTCTCATATATTTACTGAATTAGAAAGCGATGCCAAGTTATTCTTATTCTTAATCAAGCAAAAGTTGTTCTATTGAAGCAATTATGTCTAAAGAATACACCTTATAGCACCAATCAAATAATAAGTTATTGGTATAGCTTACCAAATTCCGTATTAACTAATTATTTTTATGTACTTTTACGTAAATATATTAAAGATTCTAAAAAGTTTCTGTTTTTGTTTAAAACAAAAAAAATTAACCTTATAAGATTAAAATTAATGTGGTCACATGGAATAAAGTTAAGTTCAGTTAATAACTCTAACACAGAAATACTACAAAGATTTTAATTCAAAATAGTAAGATTAATTACGCAAACTCTCTAATTTGTTTCTAAAACCTAGTTCCAAATATCTATGAACATCCAAGAATATAAAATTGTTCCTAGCACAAAAGATGCGATACTAAAAGTTCCAAATATCTTGGAAGAATAAGAAACCACATAAATTCGTTAACTGTAGCTCTATTGGATGAAATATAGTATGCTTAAAGAGTAAAGAGATTACACATTTCAGAATAATCATTCACCAATAATAACTAGCAACAGATAAATCCTCTACAAAAAGAATAGTAGAGAATAGTAAAGAATAGAATAAATATGATTAATTAATTTAATTATTCCATAGTTGGTTTATGTTTGGTTGTAAAAGAAAATATAAGTGCTTTTTCTAATGAACTTTCACACCAAATTAGCAGAGAAAAAAAAAAAAAAAAACACTGGATGTAAGCTTTAAATTTAACGGGGCACTAAATCGGTACATGCAATCTCAATCGAATTATTCAAATTTTATATAAGATATATTTCCCAAAAACAAATTTATAATCAAATATTACAAATACAATATTTTTGGAATGAATTGAAGTGAAGTCTACACAGGCTCAACAACAGCCTCCTGATTTTTATTCCAACATTATTCAATAACTTTTAAAGAATTTGCGTTATATTTGCGCTTAGAACTTTTTGAACACCCTACTGACTTCAGTGCAATGCATGCAGATAGATAAATAACATATTCCTAAGCTATACTTAACTTTAGTTTAGAACTTAATCAAACCAGATTGATGAATATATCGTCTTAATGTAAAATAATGTAAAATAATGTAAAATAGCAGCCTGGTAACTCATCAGACTTCATACTTCTATGAAGAATCCCGACACAGTCGTAGAAAGCTTTTCCAATTTTTTTTCGTTAAGAACTTAAAAGAGCAATAAAGAATGAATACATATAAAAGTTTTTTTTTGTTTGGGAATCAGTTCATATGGATTGCGCGTTTTCAGAATATTTTTAAATATGTGAAAATTTTCTTTAAAAGATATGTGTCAATAAACTTTGTTATACTAAAATTCAGCAGATAATGTTTTAGTGGATTTCCTAAAACTAATTAGAAATGCTATTTTACAAATAAAATTTATAAGAGGTTAACATATATATTTTATGCTTATAATATGTAAGTATGATGTTCGGATGCTGTAAAGAGGAATGCATTTATCAAAGTGAGACTTGCATAAATATTGCATTGCATTCGTTTTGTTAGTGTTAATTTGTGGCACGCTTTCTTCTTATGTACACAATATTTTATATAAATAAAATAAAAGAACAAATTATTAAGTTGAATTTCGTATTTCAATTTAAAAATCTGGCAATTTTTCAAATTTCGTTTAATTTTCTATATTTTTCGAGGAAAAATGACTTTACAAAAAAGCAGGTTTTGAAAAACATTTTTTTTAAAGAGAAAGCATAGTTCACGACATTTTTATTTCTATTCGGTGACTAATTATGATTCTTAATAACGATAAAAATTTATTAAATGTAAAAACATACACACACAAATGCCACAATGCACAAAGAAAACTTAAATGTAATATAAATATATAATATAAATATAACTAACATTGGTGATGTTATCGTAACCCACTATTAAAGAAGTAAATAATAAAAATTACACTTAACAATCATCAAATAATTTTAATATTTAGAAAAAACGTTATTTTTATGTGATAATTTTACTATAAACTTTAAGAGAAGAGTGAATTAAAATAGTCAAATTAAAAAATCAAAAAAAGAAATATATTATTGCCTAATAGAGTTTTATCAACCAATACACTTTATTATAAGTTCCGGGACAAGAAAAACTAAACTAGCTGAAAATGTCTGAATTCTTTCCTAAACGAGAACCCTCATGTCAATTTATACGAGTTGAACTTTTCTGTACATTATTCAAGTGACATCCTGTGAAAAAACGCAGATACTCAAAGAAATTGCAATTTATAAAATATTAAACTGTATCTGTAAAGGCCAAATGCAGGTACAAACATTCATTGAAACGAGAGAATATTATAAACAGAATTTCCGACAGTTCTTTGTAGACTGAGACACATCTCAACAAAATGGACATTTCAATAACTGATATTTGCCACATAGAAGTGAATTCATTTGTCTGCGTTAAAAATTTGTTGCCCTACACAATATACAGAACCCAATACAACCATCAAAAGTGTACACATTCATTAAAAGCCTGAGGATCATTTAATATATCTGGAAACACTGGATGTACCAAAATTGACACCCGAAGCAGCGGTTTATAATATCACAATATAATAATAATAATTATATTTTAACTCAATATACTTTATTGAACATTATTACAATTTTTGTAATTCACTATGAGGTCCTTAAAATAGACCTCAAAAGGCTTGGGAGAAAAGTAGTCTATATTCATCAAGGTTATGCAGCGGTTTATAATATTCTAATATAATAATAATAATAATAATATAAGTTTATTTTAACTCAATATGCTTTATTTAACATTATTACAATTTTTATAGTTCACTATAAGGTCCTTAAAATGGACCTCAAAAGACTTGGGAGAAAAGTAGTCCATATTCATCAAGGTTATGCAGCGGTTTATTTAAGATCAACTATAAGGTCCTTAAAATGGACCTCAAATAGCTTGGAAAAAAATTAGTCTGTATTCATTAAAGTTATGCTAGTTGCGAATACAACCCACAGCTGATATTTTTTAATTTTACTACAAAAATTACGCATATTTTAGACAGTGATTTGTCCAAATGGAGAATAGTTTTTAGTTTAATAATATAAGACAGTTAATATCTCTAATGTTTGTATGTTAAAATTTGATATAAAAAGATACTAAATAAAAACGATTCATCTTCAATTTTTTCATGGATATTTATTGATAATTTTAAAATTATTTTATTACTGTAAAAATGTCTGACAAGACGATTTATATGTGACTGTTTACGTTTGCTATTACAAATCAAAGATTAATAGATATATGGGCGACTAGATCAATTGTTCGCAGCAGGAACTTCTAATGTCCGCAGCAGGATGTAGGC